TTGCCTCACACTCTTTTAAACGTTCCCCACCATACCTTGAACCTGTGTCCCCTCATAATTGACCACTCCACCCTGGCAAAGTGCCTCATACTTTCCACCCTATCCATGCCTTTCACTATCTTATAAACATCTATCAGGTCACCTCACAACCTCCTGCAATCAGTGAAAACAAACCCAATCTTTCCAATCTTCCTTCATAGCTGAAATCCTCTATACCAGGCAACATCCTGATAAACCTTTTCTGTACTCTCTCCCAAGCATCCACGTCCTTCTGGTACTGTGCTGACCAGGACTGTACACGATATTCCAAGTGTGGCCCAACCAAAGTCCTATAAAGCTGCAGCATAACTTGCTTATCCTTATACTCAAAGCCCCTTTCAATGAAGACAAACATGCCAAAGGCCTTTTCTAATTACCTTATGTACCTGCGCTGCCACTTTCAGTGATCTGTGGACCTGCACACCCAGGTCCAGATCCCTCTGCATATCAATACTTCTAACGGTTTTGCCATTCACTGTATAATTTCCACCTGGATTAAACTCCATCTGCCATTTTTCTGCTCATGCCTGCAACTGATCTATATCCTGCTGCATCCTCTGACAATCCTCCTCACTATCCGCAACCCCACCAATCTTGGTATCGTCCGCAAAAGTGCCAATTAGACCAGCCACGTTTTGCTCCAAATCATTTATGTAGACCTCGAACAGTAGAGGTCCCAGCAGTGATCCCTGTGGAACGCCACTATTTACAACCCTCCGTTCTGAAAAGCATCCTTCAGGATTACTACCAGTGTCACATGCTGTCAGAGTAGAAATAGCAGGATATATCAGATGAATATGTGACTGGAGAAGTGGTGGGAGGAGGGATTCAGATTCCTGGGACATTGGGCTGGTCCTGAGAGAGGTGTGACCAGTACAAACTGCACCTGGGCAGGATTGGTATCCTCGTGGTGTGTTTGCTAGTGTGACTGGGGAAAGAATTAAACTAAAATGGCAGCAGATGGGATCCAACAAAGAGATAATGAAGAGAGGAAACAAGGGCAAAAGCAGAAGAGAACATGGGAAAGAAGTGATAGGCAGAAAATTCGAGGGCAAGAATCAAACAGGACCACAGTGCAAAATAATGTGAATGGGACAAAGAATGTTTAAAAGTCGAACTTTTAGGCTTTGTCTCTCAAAGCATGGTGCATTTGCAATAAACTGGATGCATTGGCTGTGCAAATAGATATCAAAGTGTATGATATAGTTGGGTTTAATAAGACGCAGATGTCGGGTGACCAGGGATGCAAATATACAGGAATATTCAGTAGTCGGGAAGGACAGCCAAAAAGGAAACGACAATGGAGTTGCACTGCTAGTTAAAGAGGATTTAGTGCATTAGTGAAGAAGCAAAATCTCTGTGAAGTGGAATCTGTATGGGTAGAACTTAGAAACACCAAAGGGCAGAAAACTAAAATGGTAACATTGGAAAGACATTAAACAGGAATGCAAGCGATAAAGTTACAGTTGTAATAATGGGTGACTTTAATCTGCATATTCATTCGGCAAATCGAATCAGAAACAATGCCGTCGAGAAGGAATTCCTAGAGTGTGTATGGGTTGGATTCCTGGAACAACACGTTGACTTACTGACTAGAGAATAGGGCCTCCTAGACCTGGGTATTGGGCAATGTGAAAGGAATAATTGGCAAACTAGCTGTGCAAGACCCCTTAGGAAAGAGTGAGAAGTTAGAATTCTTCATTAAGGTCATTTTGAGGCTAGAATGCTGAATCCAAATGAAAGAAACTACAATGGAAAAGGGCATGAGCTGGCTATTATATACTATCTTAGCTGAATTGCAGAACAGTGTCATGAAGGTTATAATCGTTTGATTATTACCTGAGCCACTCGCAGATTGGTGCTAGGCAAGACAGATTATGGAAGTGAAGGATTGATGTGGGAAAGAGGGATTTTATCGCATGGAACACAAGAAACACATTAGAAACATTGGAAAAGCTGCAGCTGAACCGGGAAAAGATCAGGGTCCATCATGGAATGAATTTACTTGGCAGTGAGAAGGAGTTTAATCCAGTAATGTAATCTATATTAATGGGAGGGTCACAGCTCAGGTAGAGCAGATAACTAAAAAAAAATTCAAAAACTAATGCATGGAATGAAAGTAGAATGACAGAAATTGTGCTTTAGCATTTAAAGGTCCCATCAGATCATTGGGCTGTTCTCTTTAGAGAAAGATGACTGATGGTGGTTTAAACTAAGGGTCACCATGCCTCAAGTAAGGGGAGCGGTTGAGAGGGAGAGTCCTTCATGGTAACCTCAGACATTGCAGGAATAGAACCCGTGCTATTGATGTCATTCTGCAGTACAAACCAGCTGTCCACCCTGCTTTTAGCCTATGCCAGTAAAAGGAAAAGCAGCTAAATCATGCAAAACACTTGAATCAGAAGAGAGGAATAAGATATTGAAAACATTCAAACAGAAGGGCAAGTGTAACATGGATATGTAGTTTTCATGTGAATGCGCAGAGTATCAACAGACTGAATTGCGGGCGGAAAATCAGCGTGAAGGATATTATATTGCAACCCTCACAGACTTCGGCAGCACTGGGAATGAAGCATACCCATTTATAATATCCACAAGAAGTTGGGAAAATAGAAAGCATGTAGTAAAAGAGGAATAGGTTTAGTAGGGAATCGTATTTTTTCTGTTAATCTGTTTGGATATGTACTGATGCATCTCTGTGGTCATATCTTAAGAGGGGAATTGAATCCTAAAACCGTATGGCCCAGAGGTAGAGACTCTACTGCAGCATCTCAAGAGTGTCCCCTGTTAATAAAGGATTTTAACTTGCATATAAATTGGAATAGTCAGATTGCAGACTTCCATACTATCTCAGAATGTTAGTGAATATTTTGGATGTATCTAGGCTATTTTTATGCAACATTGTGTCCTATGAATATATTGCAATGCCACACCAGGGTAGTGCACTGGAAATCAAACCCAGTAGTTCACTAAGTTGTCACACAAGTTAAAGATGTTAAACTATATATACAAAATTCCCCAGCTGACCTGATTTTCAGACCCAAGTTGATAGGAAACAGATTTCCATACCTAACAAGAATTACTATTTATTATAAGTAAATAGACCACATGTAAATAGTTACAAACCATTGGCATGTAACTCTGTAAGTTAAGATCTAACCTTCCTATAAACATCCCCTTACACAAGTAAGGGCAAACAAATAGGGGAAAAATAAATTATTGGTGGAAGAAGTGTGGTTCCTATTCACGGGTTGCTGAGGTGGTCCATATACTTGTCAGAATAGTGCTTTTCAGTTATCTTTCTCTGGTTGCTTCCACTGATTTGCAAGAGGCACAGGGTAGTTGGTTCACTTATAAATGGTCTCTGACTTATCAGTTAATAGTCACAGTTTACCACAATTGATGAAGGAAGATAAACTGATTTTTTTTCTGGTTTAAAGTGGACTATGACTGCAAAGAATCAAGAGACAGCTCATGTGCTCTGGACATCTGATCATTTCCCTGTGTCTTGGTTCCTAGCCCCAAGGTGGTCAGCGACTTGAGAATCAATAACATGGTTGTTGGCAGGCAAAAGGCCTTTGCCAATCAATAATTGGTCACTAATCCATAGACCATTCAACTTCTTGTTGCCACCCAGCTGCATCTGAATACAGAACCTCTCGCCTCCAGTTTGACTGCAATCACTTCAATTCCTACTTGTCAAGCAATTGTTTACACATCAGTTCAGGTTATTTGCTTTTCAAAACCTGCAGCAGCCCTTGCAAAACAACCATTTTAAAACAGTTCGTCTCCCTTTGTCCCTATTTCAAAAGACAAAAGTAATATGATCTTTACAATACCAGATTGAGTAATAAACCAGATTTAGTAAACGGCCTAATGGTTATACACCTCAAAATGATCACAATATAATCAAATTCAACATAATGTTTGATAGGAAGAAATACAAAACAGCTGTAAAATTGTATATCAAGGTAAGCTTAACTTCAGTGCAAAGAGACAAAGTCTCTTCAATGTAAATTGAGCAAGTCTGTTTGGGATAAATTTGTTTTAAAAGAATGCATATAAGAAGATACAGGTGCAGTTTACACCTCAAACTGCTTCACCTACTGTAAAGAAAACAGCAATGGATGACGAATGAGGTAAGAGATGATGAACAGTGAAGGTTAACATACCAGAGCGGTGAAAAGGGAGTATGATAAGAAACTTGTAAGGGATTACAAAATTAACACAATATTTCCAACAATTATATTTGAGAGAAGCGTGGTCACAGGCAGTTAGAGCTCATTGACAATTGATAACAATGATCTTAAAAGCAAAGAAATGGTGGACATTTTGACTACAAGGTGAATGGAGGGTCATGTGGGCTATGAGTTTGAGGGTCTGATATTCATAGAAACATAGAAAATACATCACTGCGCCCAGGCCAATGTTCCAATAAATGGAGCTCTTGCTGTCGTGGCAACCTCACCATCTGCCATCTTCCATGTCTGCTGTGGGCCAAGTTTCATAGAACATAGAACATAGAGCACAGCATGGTACAGACCCTTCAGCCCACAATGTTGTGCTGACCTATTATCCTACTCTAAGATCAAACTAACCTGCATACCTTTCATTTTACTATCATCCATGTGCCTATCCAAGAGTCGCTTAAATGTCCCTAATGTACCTGACTCTATTACCGCCGCTGGCAGTGCATTCCATGTGTAAAGAACCTACCTCTGACATCTTCGAAGCTGGTCGGCCAACTCTATTCCACTCCTATGACTGGGACCCTCCCTGACAAAGAAATATCTGCAGAGTTGGGAATTTTCTCCTGATACTTGTTTCCCTCGTAAAAATCCTGCTGTTGTTTCCTTCTCCGCAATCGCTGCCAGACCTGCTGAGTACTTTCAGCATTTTCTGTTTTTAGTAAGCTGTTAGATATCTGGATTTAGTCCTGAAAGCTATTTCTCTTTTGACAGACAAGCTTTCTGCAGACAGAGTGAAAGTGGTGATGGAACACATTTGGAAGCTGCAGGAGTTCTGTAACAACATGTCCAGGCTGGGTATCGATAGGTTCGAGTACGCGTACCTAAAGGCTATCGTTCTTTTCAGTCCTGGTAAGGCCTCCATATTCTTAAAATATAACCAAGGGTTATTGCAAGAGTGAGTTGATGACTTTAATAGTTTCTGATTTTGTGGCCCTAACTGTATCCTCTTCACTATGGCAGCGCAGTCCGGCAAACTGATGAGAGATGGTGGCTAGCATCTCCAATGTTCGATGGCTCTGGACAGGATTGCTCTAAGTGCTATCTTATAAACCAGATGGAGGCTGCCATGCTGTGGTGCTGTCTGATGCCTTTGCCCCTCCCCTGGCCTTATTACAAACACCAGAGGCTGTTGCTCATTTCTTCCTGGGACAAGAATCCACACTGGGTCCCCCATCGAGGAATGTACAGGTTTGGAGAAAAAGGGAGGCTTACAGTAGATACCAAGGGTTCAGAACACCAGAAGCTCTGGAGGGTTTTAGAAAGGCGATTACTTAAAAAGAAATTAAGAAAGCTGGAGCGGGCAAGGAAAAACAGTGGTGGGTAAATTAGAGGAAAATTCAAAGGCATTTTAGAATCATAAAGTTGTAGAGTTGTACAACATGGAAAGTGACCCTTCGGTCCAACTCCGACCAGACATCCTAAATTACTGTAGTCCCATTTACCAGCATTTGGGCTGTATCCCTCTAAACCCCTTCCTATTCATGTACCCATCCAGATGCCTTTTAAATGTTGCAATTGAACCAGCCTCCACCACTTCCTCTGGCAGCTCATTTCATTCACACACTGCCTTCTGTGTGAATAGGTTGCTTGTTAGATTCCTTTTTATCTTTCCCTGATCACCTTGAACCTATGCCCTTTAGTTTTGGACTCCCTTGCCACTGGCTATTCCCCATATGCATGTCCTCATGTTTTTATAAACCTCAATAAGGTCGCTGCTCAGCCTCTGACACTCCAGGGAAAATAGCCCCAGCCTGTTCAGCCTCTCCATATAGTTCAAACCCTTCAAATCTGGCAACATCCTTTTCTACACCCTTTCAAGTTTAACAACATCTTTCCTGTAGCAGGGAGACCAGAATTGAATGCAGTGTTCAAACAAAGAACAAAAAGACAAAAGAACAAAAGAGAAGTACAGCACAGGAACAGGCCCTTTGGCCCTCCAAGCCTGTGCTGATCATCGTGCCCTAACTAATCTAAAAAATAAACATCTGCCCTTATCTGGTCCGTATCCCTCTATTCCCTCCCTATTCATGTAACAATCCAGATGTCACCAATGTGCCTGTTTCCACCACATCTTCTGGCAATGCATTCCAGGCTGCTACCATTCCCTGCGTAAAAAATGTCCCTGGCACATCTCCCTTAAACTTTACCCCTCTCACTTTGAACCTGTGTCCCCTTTTAATTGAAACTTCAACTGTGGGAAAAAGCCTCTGACTATCCACCCTTTCTATGCCTCTCATAATTTTGTAGACCTCTATGTGGTCTCCACTCAGCTCCTTCTTTCCAGTGAAAACAATCCAAGTTTTTTTAACCTTTCCTTATAGCCAATGCCCTGGAGACCAGGCAACATCCTGGTGAACCTTCTGTGCACTATTGCCAAAGATTCCATGTCGTTCTGGTAATGTGGCAACCAAAACTGCACATTATACTCCAAACGCAGCCTAACAAGGGTTTTAATATAGCTGCAACATGGCTTGTCAACTCATGTACTGTATGTCCTGGCCGATGAAGGCAAGCATGCCATATGCCTTCTTAATCTGTATTGCCATTTCTAGGGAATGGTGGACCTGCACACCCAGATCCATCTGAATGTTAATATTCCTAAGGGTTCTGCCATTAACAGTATAATATACACCTAAATTTGATGCTCCAAATGCATCACCTCGCACTTGTCTGGATTAAACTCCATCTGCCATTTCTCTGCCGAAGTCACCAATCCATCTATATCCTGTTGTATCCTTTCACAATCGCTGGAACTATCAGCAACTTCACCTATCTTCATGTCACCTGCAAATTTGCAAATCAGACCACCCACATTTTCCTCCAGATTATTTACATATACTATCAAACAACAGAGGACCTAAGACTGATCCCTGTGGAACACCACTAGTTACTGGTTTCCATTCTGAAAAACACCTTTCCAACGCTACCCTCTGTCTTCTATGACCAAGCCAGTTTTTTATCCATCTTGCCAGCCCACCCTGAATCCCATGTGATTTTAGTTTTTATACCAATCTGTCATGTGGGACTTTATCAAGTGCCTTACTAAAGTCCTTATAAACTACATGTACCGCCCTTCCCTCATCAATTATCTTTGTCACCTCTTCAAAAAATTCGATCAGGTTGGTGCGACGTGACCTTCCCCATACAAAACCATGCTGCCTGTCACTGACTAGTCCATTTTCTTCCAAATGTGCATATATCTTGTCCCTCTCCAAGAGCTTCCCCATTGCAGATGTCAGGCTCACCAGCCTATAATTTCCTGGATTATCCCTGCTTCCTTTCTTAAACAAGGGAACAACATTGGCTGATCTCCAGTCCTCTGGAACTTAGCCTGTAGTCAAAAAGGACATGAGATATCTTCTTCCCTTCCCTCACGTAGTAATCTGGGATAGATCCCAGCTGGTCCTGGGGACTTGTCTACCTTAATGCAATTTAGATACTCAAAACTTTCTCCTTCAATATATTGACATTCTCTAGAGTATTCACACACTCATCCCGACCTCAACTTCAGTCATACCCTTTACCTTGGTGAATACCAATACAAAAGTACTTATTAATGATCTCCCCCACTTCCTGTGGCTCCATGTATAACTTCCCTCCTTTGTCCTTTAGTGGGCCTACTCCTTCCCTTGCTACCCTGTTTCTTCCAATATATGCATAAAAACTCTTGGGATTCTCCTTGACCCTGTTTGCTAAAGACATTTCACTAGCCCCTTTTAGCCTTCCTAATTCCGCATCTAAATTCCTTCCTACTTTCTCTATACTCCCTGATGGCTTCATCAGTTTGTAGCTGCCTAGACCTGTCATATGCTTCCCTTTTTCCTTCTGACAAAGCTTACAATTTCCCTTGTCATTCAATGTCCCTGAATCCTGCCATTCTTATTCTTCAGTTTAGCATGGACACGCATATCCTGCACTTTAATCAACTGGTCTTTAATAGCCTTCCATGTGCCAGGTGTAGACTTGCCCTCAAATAACTGCTCCCAATCCACATTCCCCAGTTCCTGTCTAATTTGGATGTAATTGGCCCTTTCCCAAAAAGCACCCTCATCCAAGGGCCACTCTTGACCTTCTCCATGACTACTCGAAATCTTATGGAGTTATGGTCACTCAGCCCAAAATGCTCTCCTACTGAAATGTTGATCACCTGTCCTGGCTCATTCCCTAATACCAAGTCTAGTATGGCCTCCCCTCTGGTTGGATTGTCAACATACTGTCTCAAAATGCCCTCCTGGACACATCTAACAAATTGCTCTCCATCCGAGCCCCTGGCTCTAAGGGATTCCTAGTCAATAAGAGGAAGGTTGAAGTCACCCACCACAACTACTCTGCTCTTTTAACACCTTTCCAGTATCTGACTACAGATCTGCTCCACTGTCTCCCGTGGGCTGCTGGGAGGTCGATAGAAAATTCCCAACATTGTGATTACACCCTTCCTATTCGTGAGCCCCACCCATAATGCCTCACTGCACGATCCTTCCAATGTGCCCTCCCTCAACACAGCTGTGATGTGATCCCTAATCAACAATGCAACTGCCCCACCCCCTTTAGTTTCCCTTTCTGTCCTGTCTAAAACAGCGATAACATGGTATGTTAAGCTGCCAGCCCTGTCTCTCCTTTAACCATATCTCTGTAATGACAATAACATAAAAATTCCATGCAGTAATCCATGCTCTCAGTTCATCTGACTTACCTGCTATACTTCTTTCATTGAAGTAAATGTACTCCAGATCTCCAGTCCCTCTGAGCCCCACAACTTCCCTTCGCCAGCTCTTATTCTGTGCTATGCATATCTCAGTCTCTCTTCTGTCCCCAATCCCTGCACTTACTGGCCCAGTATTCTGGCTCCCACACCCCTGCCACAGTAGCTTAAACCCTCCCAAATTGCTCAAGCAAACATCCTGCCCAGGATATTGGTGCCCCTCCAGTTCAGGTGCAACCCGTCTTTCTTGTACAGGTCCCACCTTCCCCAGAAGGTATCCCAGTGATTCATATGTCTTAAGCTGTAGCCACATGTTCAAATGCACTCTCTCTTTGTTCCCAGCCTCAATAGCCCATGGTGATCTCAGGATTACTACCCTGGCATTCTGGCTTTTTACATCCCTACCTGACTCCCTGAATTGTCTTTGCATGACTTCTTCCTTCTTCCTACCTAGGTCATTTGTGCCAATGTGGACAGTGACTTCTGTCTGTTTTCCCTTCCATTTCAGGATGTCCTGTACCCACTCAGAGACACCCAGGACCCTGGCACGAGGGAGGCAACGCCCCATCTTAGAGTCTTGTTCACTGTCACAGAAGCACCTGTCTGTGCCCCCTACTATCGAGTCACTAACTACTATTGCTCGCCTGGACTTTGCCCCACCCCGTACTACAGCAGAACCAGTTGTGGTGCCACAGGCCTGGCTGCTGCTTGTACCGTCTCCTGAGAGGCTATTCCCCCCAACAGTATCCAAAACAGTATACCTGTTTGAGAGGGGAATATCCACAGGCGACTCCTGCATTACCTGCCTGCCTCTCCTGGCAGTCACCCACCTATCTGCCTGGACCTGTGGTGTAACCACCTCCCTAAAGCTAGTGTCTATCACTCTCTCTGTCCCCTGTCTGCACCACAGTGTGTCCAGCTGCTTCTCCAACCACACCATGTGCTCTGTGAGGAGCTGCAGCTAGTCACACTTCCTGCAGATGTAGTTGTCAGGGACACTAGACTGCTCCCTGATTTCCCACATCTGGCAGCAAGAACATATCACCACCCTAACTGCCATCTCCACCCTTGTACACTTAAAAAAAAGTTAAGAATCTTACCTTGTCTGACCTGCTCACAGTGTCTTTTTTTTGGTAAGAGGAGGTGGGAAGAGGGGAAACACTACACTAATGTAGTCTATCGGGTTTAACCACTCCTTGCCACCAGTTCCTCTGCGAAATTCAGACCAGTCATGGTGACTGCAGTGCTGCCTTCCAGACTTCCTCTCAGTGACGTCTCTGCCACCCTCTGATTCGACGCAAAAGTGGCCTATCAAAGTCCTATACAGCCTCAACGTGACATCCTCCTATACTCAATGCATTGACTAATAAAGGCAAGTGAACCAAATATCTTCTTCACTACCCTGCCTACCTGTGACACCACCTTTAAGGAATTATGAACCTGCACCCCAAGGTCTCTTTGCTCAGCAACACTCTCCAGGACCCTACTATTAAGTGTATAAGCCCTGCCTTGATTTGCCTTACCAAAGTGCAACACTTTACACTTATCTAAATTAAAGTCCATCTGCCACTCCTCAGTCCATCGGCCCATCTGATCAAGGTCCCATTGTACGCTACGATAACCTTCTTCACTGTCCACTACACCGCCAATTTTGGTGTGATCTGCAAACTTGCTAGCTATTCCTCCTATATTCACATCCAAATCATTTATACAAATGACAACAAGTATATTAGGGACAAGAGGATAACTAGGGAGAGTGGAGCCCATGAGAGACCTAAGTGGCAAATTGTATGGTGCTAGAAGATGTAGCTGAGGTTTTAAATGAGTACTATTAGTGAAAAATGATATATTTCTAGAAATCAGGGAAGTGGTTTGTGATATACTTGAACAAATTACAATTGAGAGGGATGAGTTATTAGCATCTTGAGAGGACTTAAAATTGGATAAGTCCCCAGGCTGAAATGAGATGTATCCGAGGATGACGTGGGAGGCAAGAGAGGAGATTGCAGGGACTCTAACATTAATTTTCAAATTCTGCCGAGACACAAGACATGCTAGAGAACTGGATAACAGATAATGTGGTTAGTCAAGATGGTGACAGGAATAAACTAGGGAACTATAGGCTGAACTAATAGCTTATAAGGGACAGGATTAACCTTAACTTGATGAAGGAAGGGTAAGAATTAATTAATCATTATGGCTTTGTCAGAGGAAATTCATATGTGACAGGTTTCATTGAGCTTTTCAAGGAGCTGACTTGATGTGTTGATGACAGTAGGGTAGTTGATTGATTCTACACGGATTTTGTAAGGTTTTTGACAAGGCCTTGCATGGAACATTGTCAAGGAGATAAAAGGCTGAGGGATCTAGGGCAATTTGGCAAGTTGGATCCAAAATTCCCTGAGTAGCAGGAGACAGAGCATGATGGTGGAAGGGTGTTTTTGTGACTGGAAGCCTGTATCCAGTGGCCTACCACAGGGGTCAGTACTGGCTTCCCTGCCATTTGTTGTGTTCATTAATGATCAAGACATGAATGTAGGAGGTTTGATCAGGAAGTTTGCATACAACACAAAAATTGCTGATGTGGTAAATAGTGAGGAGGACATATATGAGTTGGTTAGATGGGTTGAACAGTGGAATGTAGAAGGTACTGACCATGTAGACGCATACTTCCATTTGGAAAGCCATGATGTAGAGGTGACGGTGCTGGACTGGGATGGACAAAGTCAGAAATCACACGACACCAGGTTCTAGTCCAACAGGTTTATTTGAAATCAAAGCTTTCGAAGTGCTGCCCCTTTGTCAGGTGAAGTCCTGGTGACATGTGAGTTCTGACCTTGTCCATTTGGAAGAACATTGCTCAAGCATCACCCTTTGCTTCCTGTCTCTCAGTCAGTTGTGGATCCAAATGTCTTTGGATTCCATGAGCTATCAGTTTTCCTTGTGGGACCTTATCGAAAGTCTTGCTGAAGTCCAAGTAGACATCATCAAAAGCATTGCCTTCATCTACATACCTGATCACCTGTTTGAAAAATCAATCAAGTTGCTCAGACATAACCTCTCTTTAACAAAACCATGTTGACTGATCTTGACTAATTCCTGCCTCTCCAAATGCAGATTAATTCTGTCCCGCAGAATTGCTTCCAATAGTTTCTGATTTGTTAACCAACCAGCCAGGTGGCACCATTTCAAACGCTTTCTGAAAGTCTAAATTTATAACATCCACAACACTAACCCCGTCCACTGCCTGTATCACCTCATCAAAGAACTCAATTTAATTTGTCAGACATGATCTATCCTTGACAAAGCCACATTGACTGCCTAGTATTAACTTATTTTTCTCTGAGTGTATATTTACTGTATCCTGTATAATGGCATCTGTCAGTTTACCCACTATTGATGTCAAGCTAACTGGTCTGTACTTTCCTGGGTTATCCTTTGCCCCTTTCTTAAACAATGGTGTCACATTTGCAACCCTCCAGTCCCCTGAAACTAATCCTGTGTTCAGAGGGGCCTGGAAATTTCTGTCAATGGCTCCTGCGATTTGCTCCCATACCTCTCTCGGCAATCCACGATGTATCCCATCCAGGCCTGACGTCTTCTTTACCTGGAGTCCTGCCAGGCTTTTTAGCACCTCTTCCTTATCTATCACTATACTGCTCAGTTGCTCAACACCCGTTTTCAACTGGGGCATTTTTTTTCCAATTTCTAATTTAATAAAGATAGAAACCAAGATTGAATAGGTCAGGCCTGTACTCATTGGAGTTTCGAAGAATGAGAAGCAACCATTTTGAAACAATTAAGATTCTTCGGGGACCTGACAGAGTAGATGTGGAAAGGCTGTTTCCCCTTGTGGGAAAGCCTAACACCAGAGGGCATAATCTCAGTGTACGGTGATAGAGATTTTTTTCCTCTCCAAAGGCAGTGAATCTGTGAAATTCTTTGCTGCAGTGGATTGTAGAGTCTGGGTTGTTAAGTATATTCAAAGCTGAGGTGGACAGATTTTAATCAGTTAGGGAATCGTGAATTATGGGGAAAAGGCAAGAAAGTGCAATTGAGGATTCAGATCAGCTATGATTTCGTTGAATGGTGGAACGGACTTGATGAACTAAATGGCCTACCTGTGCTCCTACCTTCTATGGTGTATGGTCCCCTAGCAAAGAAGGCCTGATTGGATTGTACAGAATTATGAAGGGCACAGATAGGGTAGATAGAAAGAAATGTCTCCCCTTAGTAGAAAGATCAATAACTAGGGGCATTTCAGGCAAAGAGCTGAAGGTTTAAAGGAGATTTAAGGAAGAAGTTCCTCACCCAGAGGTTAGTGTGTATCCAGTGTGTGTAGGTGTTTGATGACTGGTGCAGACGCAAAGGGCTGAAGAACCTCTTTCTATGCTGTATCATTCTATGACTCTATGACATATTCTTAGCATTCCAGCTCCTGATGTATCTTAAGTAAAACATTTCATCTCCTATCTATATTTTTTGTCAATGATTTTAATCTATGACTCAATGATAGAAGGAAAACTTTATTAGCTCCATTAAAAGCTTTCATCATATTAAAATATCTTCATCAGCTCAACTCTCTTCCAAGGAAACAAAACAGTTCCTCTTCATAACTGAAGTTCCTCCTCCCTGGTCACAAGCTGCTGTTCTTGAAGACTCTCCCACCAATCCTGATGTCCAGTCTCCTAGCTGAGGCCTACTTTCAGTTCGAGAGAAACTCTTTTCTATTCTGTTCTTGCACTTTCAAACCCCAAGCCAACATATTAACTTGCCCTGGTACATTTGGAAATTAGTGTAAGTTTGTGTCAAGACATCATTTTACACTTTCCAATATTCAGCCATTTGTCTCGTGCTGATCATGTTCATTTCACATTCTACTTCAGAAATCAAGATTATTTGCTGGAGATTAGAGGAGTTTCTTCTGTATTTATTAACTTGATCTTTACTCTTCTGCTGCAGATCACCCAGGTCTCAATAGTACCAGTCAAATTGGAAAGTTTCAAGGCAAAGCACAAATGGAACTGCAGGATTATGTTCAAAAAACATATCCTGAAGATAGCTACAGGTAGGATCTAGCAACTAACACATTCGCACAATAGTCAGCATCAGGTTTGATCTTAAATCAGACTCTGTTCTTTGAACTGAGAGTATCAGGGATTGTAGATCCCAGTTCAGCTCTTGAGACAGTTTATGAAATAGCCAGTGTAGAAATGATCTCAAATCAATTATTTCAAGGATCAATGAGAGAGATTTGAAGAAAGAGCAGTTGGATAGCAGACAGCTATGTGTTCAAAGAGGTGGGGGGACCTGTTGAACTGATATTTCCCAATGAGTGTAGGAAAGAAGGCAAATGTTATATTGGCCTTCATACCAATAGAATTCGAGTACAGGAGCAGGTATGTCTTGCTGCAATTATGCAGAGCCTTGGTGAGATAATGCCTGGAATATTGTGTTTAATTTTAGTCTTTTTATCTTAGGATGTTATGATGATAGAGGGAGTGCAATGAAGACTTACCAGACTGATTCCTGGGGTGGCAGGACTAATATGGGAGGAGAGACTGGATCACCTGGTACTATATTCAATTGAGTTTAGAAGAATGAGGAGGGATCTCACGGAAATCTATAAGACGCTAACAGGGCTATGCAGGATAAACACAGGAAGGATATTCTTCATGACTGGGGAATTCAGAACAAGGGGTATCACAGTCTAAGGATATGGAGTAGGCCAATTAGGCCTGAGATGAGGAGAAATTTCTTCACACAGAGAGTGGAGAGCCTGTGGAATTCTCTGCCTCAAAAGTGTTTGAGCTTAAGCATTGAATGTTTTGAAGAAAAGCTTAGATATAGTTCTGAGGGCTAAAGGGATCAAAAGGTATGGGGTGAAAGTGAGAACAGGGTACTGTGTTAGATGATCAGCCATTATTATGATAAATGATGGAGCAGGTTCAAAGGGCTGAATGGCCTACAACTGCTCCTATTTTCTATATTATTATAAAGCCAAATATTAAACAGCCAGAAGAGACACCTGTGGTCAGACAGAAAATGTAATGTAACATTGCAAATAGGGAGAGCGTTGATTCTGAGTTGTTGGGATACTGTGGTTTGTGGGAATATATGGCTGTCAGTACTCTTTAAATATAAAATATGAGGGATATGGAATCAGTTTATTCATTCATTCAAACACGTGCACAGTGCAGCTTGAAGCATCAATATGGTGTTAAAGACAACATGACAGATAAATGGAAACAAAAGATTTTCAGTCAAATATGTTTGATTTAATTTGACAGATTGGCTCGCATTCTTCTCCGCCTGCCGGCTCTTCGATTGATGAATTCCAGCATCACGGAGGAACTCTTCTTCACTGGACTGATTGGCAATGTTCAGATTGACAGTATCATTCCTTACATCCTGCGAATGGAAACTGCAGAATACAACAGTCAAATCATTGGCACTTGACCCCAAGGAACAGACTCTTCTGCTCAACATAAAACATGGCAACTCCATCAATGAGAGGCGAGAGAGCAGAGCACAGCTTGGACAGCTCTTTCAGAAAGCAAATAATATCTTGACTGCATACTCCGCTCCTTACACACTCTATCCACTGCAGTCTCAGCTCACTGCACATTCTGCTACCAACACACTCCATCCATCATACGCTCTGTTCACTGGCAGACTCCACTCCCCACACACTCTGCTCCGTACAGACACCATTTGCCACATCTCCGCTCCCCACATAGCGCACACTCCATTCCCTATAGACCCTGTTGACTGCAGACTCCAGTTCCTACATGCCCAGTTCACTGCAGACTCCGCTCCCGACACAACCCTCTCACGACAGACAGCAATCCCGACAAACTTATTTCAGTGTAGACACTGATCCCGACACATTCCGCACAATGCAAACATTGATCAATACAAATCTTGCTCACTGCAAACACTGATCCCTGCACAGCCCGCTCACTACAGACACTGATCACAACACACCTCTCTCATTGCAGACAATGATCCCTACACACCCTGCTCACTGCAGACACTGATCCCTACACACC